CTTCTATTTGTACATTGAATATGGATGAATTGTTTGCAAGTTTGAGAGACAGTGGCATAATGTCACTTTTTTTGCATATTGAATCCACCGCAAGAAATATGTGTGTTCGAAATTTGGAGTTTGCTGGATCAAATCTCATTTGGGAGCTTCTCCAGACATACATGCAAATGGAGACTAGCGCAATTTAGCCTTAGCGTCGGTAAATCGAAAAATATTCCGTCCCTAGTTTGCCTGTCCACTGGTGGCCCGAAGCCCGAAGCTAACATACAATGAATTGCAGCTGCAGCATCTTTTCAATGTTTTATTTCTATTTCTTTCAACTTTACATATCCAATTGTTTCACGGTTTTCGGAACACATCATTGTGCGCATCGCCGTGATATTTGAACTTCTCAAACTTTTAAAGGCGCATACGCCTAAGAGAAGTCTCGCGATTTATTCTTTGCGACATTTCGATAATCTGACAAGTAGATTGGACTAGCGCAAGGCAATCTCGAACTTATACCAGCTCTGTACCTGTTTTGAAGACTTTTCTCTTATTTTATCACCTACCACCTTAAAATAAATCGTAGATCATCCCTTCGCAATGGGTGTTCCAGCACTGTTTAGATGGCTGGTAAGTTTTGATTCTCAAACTTCAATATTTCTTGATTTGCTAATAACATTGTCTGATTTCTAGACCAAGCAATATCCCAAGATTGTATCGCCTGTCATTGAAGAGCAACCACGCGAAATTGATGGGCAAATCATTCCTATTGATATAAGGGGACCGAATCCTAATGGAGAGGAATGCGACAACCTTTATTTGGACATGAACGGAATCGTTCACCCTTGTAGTATGTTCATCTCAATACACCAGATCGTCGGGAAGACCAAATTGCCATTCTTGACTTATGCTAATACATAATCTTCAGGTCATCCGGAGGATCGCCCCCCACCCAAAGATGAGGAGGAAATGATGTTGGAAATCTTCAAGTACACGGATCGAGTAGTTAACATGGTGCGACCCAGGAAACTCTTGATGATTGCTATTGACGGAGTAGCGCCACGTGCCAAGATGAATCAACAACGCTCCCGCCGATTTCGTTCCGCGCAAGAGGCAAAAGAGAAGGCGGAGGATAAGGCAGAGTTGCTTAAGATGTTAAAATCACAAGGTAGTCATATCGAAGAGACGGAAATTAAGAAGGCTTGGGATTCCAACGAAATTACACCGGGAACTCCATTCATGGACATTTTGGCCCTTAGTCTCAGATATTGGATTGCATACAAACTCAACACTGACCCCGCTTGGGCGAAGATGAAAGTCATCATCTCAGATTCTACCGTCCCAGGAGAGGGTGAACACAAAATCATGGAATTTGTTCGATCCCAAAGATCTTCTCCTGATCATGATCCTAATACCCGTCATGTCATGTATGGATTAGATGCCGACTTGATCATGTTGGGCCTTGCAACGCATGAACCTCATTTTCGTATATTGAGAGAAGATGTTTTCTTCAATGACGGAAAACCAAGGACCTGTAAATTATGCGGCCAACATGGGCATGAAGCCCGAGAGTGCAAAGGCATGTACAAGATAAAGGATGGTGAGTTTGATGAAAAGGCTAGCGCCCCTACTCTCAAACCATTTATTTGGCTCCACGTCTCGGTTCTTCGAGAATACCTAGCTGCAGAGATGTATGTTCCTAGCCAACCTTTCAGATTCGATCTTGAAAGAGCTTTAGACGACTGGGTTTTTATGTGTTTCTTTGTCGGCAATGATTTCTTACCTCATCTTCCCAGTCTCGAAATTCGAGAGGACGGTATCAATACTTTGATTGCCATCTGGCGTGATAACATTCCGTATATGGGTGGTTATTTGACTAAAGATGGCCATGTAGACCTTGAAAGAGCTCAATTCATCCTCGATGGATTGGCCAAGCAAGAGGATGCCATCTTCAGAAAAAGAAGAAAGAATGAAGAAAATTTCCAAAAGAAGCGCAAGCTCAACAATGAGCGAAATGCTCGTGGTCGTGGAAATAACGGTGGTCCACAGGATTCGCCATCTAACGGTAGACAGCCTCCTGGTGGAGCTGCTCCGACCGGTTTACCACTGTTCACTCCAGGCACGGCCAACAAGGAAGCCAAGGCTATGACCCATGATATGGTGATGAACCGAGGTGCAGCTTACAAGGCCAGTATCGCTAACAAAAGTGCGGCTGCAGCCCTGAAGGAGATGATGAATGGCAAGTCAGCTGACGATAACGGGGAGTCTAAAGCCGATGATCCGTCGGCGGAATCACCAGCGACTGCACTGGGAAAACGCAAAGCAGAGCTCATTGAGGATGATGACAGTAGCACGCCGGGACGCAACACACCCACTCCTGGAACACCAGGAACCCCAACAACACCTGGAGACGACCTTCCCCCTGACACCGTCAGGCTATGGGAAGACGGATACGCTGATAGATACTATGAGCAGAAGTTCAATAGAGATCCTAAGGATATCGAGTTTCGTCATGAGGTTGGCAGAGCCTATGTGGAAGGACTGGCCTGGGTTTTGCTATACTACTTTCAAGGATGTCCATCTTGGGATTGGTATTACCCTTACCATTATGCTCCTTTTGCCGCAGATTTTGCCAATCTTAAGGATATGAAAATCGATTTCCAGAAAGGAAGAATTTTCAGACCGTTTGAACAACTTATGGGAGTCCTTCCAGCCGCTTCAAGACAAGCTATTCCGGAGCAATTTCATCATCTAATGACCAATGAAGATAGCGAGATCATCGATTTCTATCCCGAAGACTTTGTAGTTGATTTGAACGGTAAGAAATTTGCTTGGCAAGGTGTTGCTCTATTACCATTCATTGATTCGGAGCGATTGCTCGATGCAATGGCTAAGGTGTATCCCACATTACCTGCGGACGTTTCAGCTCGCAATGGCCTTGGAAAAGATGTTCTCCTGGTCTCAGAAGCTCATCATGATCTTTATGATGAAATCACCAGCAAATTCTATTCAAAGAAACAGGATGCACCTCATATGAAACTGAACCCCAAGGTCAGTGAAGGTTTGACAGGACGGATCGAGAAGAACGAGGACTACCTTCCATACAGCTCTTTGGCGTTCCCGTTGGACAGTGATGCAATGCCAAGCCTCGATGAAGATCGATCAATACGGTAATTATACTTCAACTCTTCAATAGTATCTCGCTTACAATTCATCTAGTGTACATTATGAGATGCCCAAGTCTAACCATATTCACAAGTCTATGTTATTAGTAGGAGTTGATTTCGGCAAACCAGCACTCAACCAGAGCGATATTGAAATGACAAAAAGCAGGGCATCTAGATCAGGTCGAAATCACGGTGGAGTGCCGTTACAAGGTGATGGAAGAGGTCGCAACCAATTCAATTATGGTTCTGGCAACAACAATCGCGGCAATGGCAATCGTTACAATGGTCCAGGAACGACAGCACCTAGATATAATAACCAATCTTATGGTTCTCAGAACAATTACAATAATTACAGTCAGCCGCCTCCTCCACCAGGTTGGCAGCCACCTCCACCCGGAGCTGGAGGGTTTGCTCGTGGACCTCCACCACCACCACCAGGTTCATATGGTGCCTATCCACCACCACCTCCCCCCGGATACGGAGGTTATAACAATTACAACAATTATGGTGGAAGACGTTAAATTAGGTTACTTCAATAATTTCCGCTGATCTACCATTGAAAGATGTTTTTTTCTATGTACAATACGATGATATTGATCCAGAGGCCAAACTTGCTACATCGAAATCAAGAGAGTTCAAAAGGATCAACAGGGACAGGGAGGTAATCGAGGAGAGATTTCAAGAATCGGAAGAAATCGATAGGGGAAACAATGAGACAGGAAAAGAGATATATTGATCTGATCTTATGCATGTCTAATATTACAGGCTTGTATCATCCAAACGGCGCAAAGAATTGGGACGACATGACAGTACCTAAAAAATGGTTGGGTGTTTCTGGGTCCCAAGTCAAAAACTCTATCAAAATGTTAATGTCGTACCATGAAAATATCTAGATTTTACCAGTGAAGACCCAATGGCGTGACTCTGCCATTGTTACCAAATGCTAATAACATTGTAATAACTAAAATGTACCGTGTATATAGATTTATGTGTATCAATGAATTCTACAATTGGGACTTGGTCGTCAGAATTAGAGCGACAAATCGAATCAGTCCAAGCAATGTAAGATGAGCATTTGGTGCACTTTCATGGCCACACATGTATGTAGGTAGCTAAAACTCGATAACATTTTGACATGTTCCTGAAATTTCGAAGTTGTCTCATGTAAATGTAACAAACATTATGAAACGAGGGTATGCAAGTCATTCCTTTAAGGATAAATAGCGGAAGCATGGAACGATAGTAGCATTAAATAGATTTCCCGCTCCAGTGCTTTTGGCCTTCCTAGGTAGGCCCACTTGTATTTTCAACTTGTATGTTACAATAATCACGAAGCTACCAGACATCAAACAACAACAATACATTAAATAACCTTCACATACTTACAACCTAGGTACGCCGATAGCAGGTACACTCACACTCTCTACGCATTTGTTGCTGAACCTCAGTTGCCGAGACCAAAGCGGAAAAAAAAAGTCCCATCCCCCAATACTTTCTCCACAGCGAACTTGTTTATCCATGACTACACGTGTGTGAGGTGCGAGTCCCAAGGAACCCCCAAAAACCACAACCAAATAAAGTTCAAGCTACTTCAGGTACACCTAATAATTTCCGACCTTCTGGATTCTCAAATCCTCACATTAAGAAGTGTCATGCCCGTGGTGCTACAATTTGATTGCTGCGAAATTGCTTCTCTTCCTCCTTTCTAGACGAGATAGTAAACAGATTATAAAGCCCACAGCTTCACTAAGCCCCTACGAAGAACGACGAACGCACATGCTTCCAAGCGTATGTCGGACAATCACTGAGTAGTCTGGCTAGTTGCCAACGCCGTCCGCGAAAAAAGTCATGAGTGATAACTCAAGTCTAGTCATTACTTTGGTGGAGAGGCTGATTACAAAAGTATAATTCCAACTCGGAGTCGCATTCCTCTACGTGTCGCAAATCAGCTAACAAATTGCTTGTTTAAATATAGCTCCCACACAAAACTGGCGCCGATGCACACCATCTCAATCGCGATGAGATTGCCCTTTTGAGTCGCACGACCCTCGTCGATATCAGTAAACCATCTATAGCCGTTGTCGCCGAAGCTCTTGTGCAACTGCTGGAAGATCTTGCGAGACCGTACAAGACGATATCGGCGCATCCATTGCATGTTTTACACTCAGAATTTTACGTACTAGAGCTATTGGCGGAGTGCTGTACAACGCACTGGGAGAGCATCAATGCTTCAGAAAACACTAGCGACCGAGATAATGCGCCCTCTCAAGGTTTCAGATCTGTCGATAACATAAAACCCGAAGGTCGAAGGGCATCCAGGAACAAACTTTTGGCGCGTGATAATCCTCCGGAGGCTTTGGACGATGATTTAGCCAAAAGAATAATAGATGTGATAAAATTGTTCTCGAATCCTATACCGGACGGCTATGTACTTCCGGCATTCAACATTCTAGACGATGTTCTTGGGACCTCTCCTGCTGTTCAATCCCCGGGCTTGGATCTTTTGAACGGTACAAATGGTCAACAGAATACAACGGAGGCTGCAATATTGATACAGGAACATTCCGAATCCACAGAGGCATGCATAAGGAAAGTCGTGGAGTTTGTTTCCTTTTCGAATTGGCCCCGGACTCTAGAGTATTTGAGGGGTTCTCTCCGTGGTCTACTGGCGGCCCAATCTTCAAATGGAAACCAAGCACAGAATGGTGCCGTAGTCGACGACGAGGCGCTCGTTACTGTGCGCTTAATTCCGTCGTTTTGGGTTGATAGTCGAAAACTGGGGGTTGTCATACAAGAGTTGTGTGGTAGCTTCCTGCACCTACGCAAGGCTTTTCAAACTATCGTGGCAATAGTCGTGCCTCAATTAATCACCCGATGGCTGGAACGAAACCCCGAAGAGTTCATCCAACTACACACAATGCACAAAAGGCTCGACGGTGGGGCGGAAACCCTCTTTGATATGACAAACACAATGATAGATGCGGGAAGACGAAAAACATTATTATTTCCATTTCAGACGTCTTTGTTATTTCTTCTGCCAGACGTCTTTGAAGTCGCTAGCAATATGAGAGATATTAAAAGTAGCAGTATCTCCAAGAAGGTATCGTTTTTGGAGATGCTGAGGAAGACTTTGAGAAACAGAAATGAAGCAGCTATTTATTGTTTGACCTCTGTTTTGCGAGTCGCAAGACACTTTCCGCTCGATAGTGATTCGGCACTTCTGAGCTATGCCTTAGATGTCCAGGAAGAAGTGCGTGAAGCAGTATTCAGGAGATATACCGTGGGTGCAGAAAATACAAGTATAGACTCTGGTTTGATGACCGCAGCATTTGTCAGTTTGGCGCATCTAAACTTTAGAACTTGCGTTGATAGCCTCGCGCCTTTCTGTCTTGCCCCCAATTCTTCTCCAGATTTTAAACTCGCTGTAATAAGAGCATGTACGCATTTCGCCAAGCAGTCTAATGCTAGTGATTATCGCCCATTATTTGTTAAACTGTCTGAATTCATTCGCACTTACATGAAGGTATGGTGTTTTCATAATTTTCAAGATGTATTGCTAATTCTCAAGAAGGGGACAACGTTGAGATTCAGAGACTCTTATCCTATCGAACATGTGACCATGAATAGACAAACGAAATTCTCATCGTCGGGGGAGTTGGTGTATAGCATGCTAGTATTCCTGGATGTGTACCCAATGGCTTTGTTCATCGGCATGGATTTAGCCTCACATAATAATGACGCCGCTTTCGAGGACGTATACGCTGCTCTAATGGCCTTTTTGACCTCCGAGGACGAGAAAATCAGACTCCTAACCAGCGAAGTTTGTCGGTCATCATTAACTGAAGCAACGATGTCTGCATGGCGAAGAAAAGACTACAAATTCTCGAATACCGCAAAGTTCAACTTCTGGGAATCAACGTAAGTTTTGAGCCCCGGTTACCATCCCCACTACTCAAGCAGCTGACGCATTGTTATCTAGCTCCATTATACTCAGTTCAATATCAAGCAAAATTATAAACCAGACCGTTGATGAACACAACGCTCTTAGCTTTGTACATAGCTACTTGCAAGCAAGACTCGATCTCTTGAAAAAGATCAAAGTAAGTAACATTCATATAGTTCTCAAATGTATCTCACTCGAACAGTCAGCCTATCGAATGGTTGTGCGATCAGTCGCGCAGTGACGGGTGATTGTGCGCAGTGACAGGCGATCTTCGAATGCAATTTCTCACGTGTTATAGGACTTGACCGAGTTAGAGGAAGATATTTCAGAGCGATTAGCAGCATACTCTATGATGGAGACAACCTTCTTAGTCACGGTTTGCTCGCCCGACATAGCAATTTGCCAGCTAGTTGCTTCAAGTGTCTGTTTGTTTGCAGAAGAGATTCGTCTCGTTGAATCCGCTCCAGACTTCACAAAGCATTCCCTGGCAAGCGCGCGTAACATGGAGGTGTACCAGGAGCTTGCCTCGAAAGACTTTCGATTTACAGGTATAGTTGCTTTCCAGAAGCGAGCGAGGGGTTGTTTACGTCGAATGCAATGCCCTACAGCTGGTATCATTAACGCATGGGAGACTATCTTTGATCGATGGGTTAGATTATCCAAGCAACTTATTGCGCGGCCTGAAATTATTGATGAAAGGTCTTTGGGAGAGTGGCGCAATTGTTCTGGATTTCTGGCCTCTCTTGGTGGCATTTGCATCGTGGGCCGATCTCTTCTCTCTACCTCGGATGACCAAGTACTTGCCAGTTTGCGATGGATCGATAAGGTTCCTGCCGAAAGCTACGATGACGAGACTTTACTTAGTCGATATATGCGGCAGAGTGTCCAATTGTTGGCTAGCAACAATATTAGGATACGAGAAGGCACTAGAGATGCCCTCTCGAGTGATCTTGCCAAAGCATTACATATGCCTTTATTCGAAGCCCTTCAAACAGAGCTTGATATTTTATTTGATAGCCCACGAAGCAACGCGATTCCTGTCGATTCTCGGATCATCTTCGCAGAACAGGCAGCAGCACTACTCAAAAGTATTGTTGAGAAGCTCGGAAGCCCAGCTGAGTTGGGTACAGGCATGTCGGTTGATATTGGTGCTTTGGCACTCAATTTCGCGAAATTCTTGAACAGTTCAGCAGATGGGGCAAGTGCGTTAAGGGTTAAAATTAAGATTTGTCAATTATGTGAAACTCTCACACAAAAGAAAGAGCTCTTGAATTTGAGACACGATGTACGTATCCGTAATCAGCTTTTAGAAGTGATTTTCGGATGGATTGCACGCCCAGGGACTCCAAATGCCGACACTGGTGTTCATTTGGTAGGCACTCGTCTTGATGAACTATTCCGTCTGCAGAAGGACCTTGACCGAGCCTCGTTGAAGGCATTAGCGGAATTGACATATCGTCTTCCTCTACAACCGGCGGAAGGCCAGTCCGATGCAGACACAAGCGATTTAAAATCACAGATGTTCCATACTTATTTCAATAGGTTCCTATCTCTTCTCAATTACGAAACGGTTGAGATAGGTAGGAACGAGGTGCGACTTACATCAACTGTGAGCGATGATTCTATGAGCAGCCCAGAGCTTGCGATTTCCGCGCTCTCCAACCTTTTGAGTGCGAATATTGATGTTGGCCTCAAACATTCCTTAGGTATTGGTTATCATGAAGATATTGAAGTTAGAACAGCTTTCGTCAAAGTTCTTTGCAACATTTTGATACAGGGTACCGAATTTAATAATTTGTCCGATGCAGCGGTAAATCAAAAGTACGATGAACTGCTTGAGGTTAGTGCTAAGACTTATCCTATTCAATCGACCTGTTACTAAAGATAGCAATTAACAGTTACTTGTCAATGATATGACTCTTACAATTGCACTTTGCGATGCCTGCCCAAGTACGGAAGTCGACGAGATGACCATCTCACTTCTTAATATTTTTGACTCCCGGGGTATGGGCTTTGCCTTGCTTGAGGCCCTCATTGAGCATGAGGTTGAAGAGACCGGCAAGTTCTGCCTTGCATATGAAACCTCTGCTTGCATGCTAATTCCTTTTAGAAAATGAGGCTGAACTCCTCAGAAGAAACTGTGTTGCTACTAAGCTGCTGTCTGTCTATGCCAAATGGAAGGGAGCTGCGTATCTAAAAGCAACACTGCAAAAAGTCCTAGAGCGCCTTGTTCTCACATCAAAAGACTTGGATCTTGAACTTGATCCTGCCAGAACAACATCCCCCGAAGAGTTGCAGAAAAATGCCCTTCAACTTCGTGTAGTGACAAAAGTCTTTATCGATGATATATGCAATTCTGCATCCCGCATTCCAGTGTCTTTTCGAAAGATCTGCAATATTGTAAGCTAATCGAATTCGCTATCCTTGCACTACTGAAATTGTTTAGATATCTTCCTGTGTGATGAGAAGGTTTCCCGATGCCAAATTCACCGCTGTTGGTGCTTTCATATTCCTACGATTTTTCTGTCCAGCGATTGTCGCTCCTGATGCAGAAGGACTTATAGCATCCCCGCCATCGAAAGAAATGCGCCGAGGACTTCTTCTTATTGCCAAAGTAGTTCAAAATTTAGCAAACAACGTTCTTTTCGGGGCAAAAGAGCCATACATGTACCCTCTAAACGACTTCTTGACACAAAATATATATCGCGTAACGACATTTTTACGGGAGATCTCAGTATGTCCCTCTATAATAGGTAGAAAACAACAAGCTAACAACTAAAGGCGCCTCCCAACGTTAGAGAAACACTTGCGGAATCTGAGTCGTTTGATTTTGGCTCCTGCGTTGCCCTACATAGATTTTTGTATGATCATTGGGACCACGTTCGACAAAAGCTTGTTCTACGGGAACGGCAACTCTCTCTTAGATCTCCAATTGACGGCACTAAAAGTCATACTCCAGTTTTGGATGCCCTCCGAACACTGATATCTAATCTCGGACCACCGCCAATGGACGTATCTTGGAATAGACCAGCAATTTCACAAAATACACCACCTTCATATTCGCGCTTCCAACATTTCATGCTTAGAAACGCAGGTCGAAGCTCGGAGGCTGTAGTATCAAATAGAGCCGTATATGATGGAGGCGAAAGCAAGGTAGGTAACCATTACCATGTTGAATGCGCCATGCGCTAACATGAAAAGGATGGATTGTCGATGATTTGTATTATACTTCGCAACATCGATACAGACGGAACGGACTATGACCTTTTGTTGTATGTGTATTTGAAGGTTTGTAAAACCCCGTACATTCTGAACGACGTTGTTTGCTGAATATCGCAGATTGCAAGCCGTATGTGGCACAAGCCATTTGGTATTTTGATTGATGCGACTTGCTATAACGGTCAGAACGAGCCTGCAGATGCTCTCTTCCGAAGACTTGATCTCCTTACACCGACAGAGCTCTCGAAGCAGCTGTCTAGAGTATATGTCTACAACATGAATAGTGCATTCAGGTGAGTATCGAGGAGGACTTGAGAGGAGTTGTACTAATACAAGCGTAGGAAATGTTTCCGGCGCATCCTTCGACTATCTGCAAAGAGTGAGAATAGCGCGTTCCACCCGAAGAACGTTGATTACCACTTAATTGGTAGTCTTCAAGACTTGCAGTCTCACTTCCATCTCACGCAGCTCCACTTGCCAAAAGAGACAATAAGCGTTGTCACAGATACGAGATACGTCTTCCAACCGATCATAAGACTATCGAAAACAAAAGGTAAGGTCGAGGTGATAATCAAGATTGGTAATCAATTTGTCCAAGTGACAACAACGAAGAAACAAGAAGTTGTACCAGGACTTAGGCTACATGCTACAGTCAATGATATCTTCCGCTTATCAGAGGTCGACGAGGCACCCACTTCGATACAGACCGAAGATGATTCTGCATTCGGTTTAAGGACTGACAACGGCAAGATTGTGATGTATTTCACCAGTCCAAGAAAGGGCGATATTCTACAATCCATTCGCAGTGCTAAGAATAGACATGGAAAAGAGCTGAGAACCTTAAAATCGTTTGAGAGGCTGGTCAGACCGCAAGATGTACCAGGGACACTTCTCAACATTGCTCTAACTAACATGGCGAGTCCTGACGCGGTACTACGTCTTGCAGCATACAATTTATTGTGTGCTCTTTGTCGAGCTTTTAAGTTCGCAGCCGATTCCAAATTCATGAGCACAAAAGGTATGAATTACTGCTTCCATAAATCTGGATCTTTGCTGACAAATATCAGAATTATGTGTTCCTTTGAACCCATCTCAATTTATCATTGAAATTAGTGCACAATTGGCACGCTCCGAGCCTCAGCTTACTGGTGACTTTCTCAACGAATTTTTCGTTGGATGGGAAAGTTTTCCGTACTCGCAAAGGCCCTTGAGCTTGGCGTATATGGCGCCCTGGCTACCAAGTCTAAGAACCCACCTCATACCTAATGAACCAGATAGTGATAAAGGAAGAGAAAAAGTCGCAGTGATTTTCAGGAGGCTTATTGAAGTCGCCATATCTGATGTTGTTCTTAGCACTACTCTGGAACAAAGCATCTGGCCCATAATCTGTAAGGATGAAGTTTATATTGATATATTCTTGGAGGAAATCCTTAAGCCAGCTCTTAATTTCGGCATCGATGATGAGCGGACTGAAATTCTTGGTTCCATTCTTGCGTCGCTTGGTACTGTTACGATTCGGGGCAAACTAATATCAAGGCTTCGCAAGGCTCTCAATCGCACTTCGCTCCGACCGACAAGGCATCTTCACGAAAATACCGTTTGGGGCGAAATTTGTGTTCTGTTAAGACTTTCATTGTCTGTTTCTTTCGACAGCGGTGTCCAGTCCCAACTTTATCTCCCTGAAGTATTCCACCTTGTCACTATGCTAGCTAACACAGGCTCGTCCGATTTGAGATTAATCGTCCATCGCTTGCTTGTCAATACTATACATGCTATGTGTACCACATTTGTGTTAGAGGAAAGCAAACTTGCTAAATTGAAGATTTTGCTATCTTCAATATCGGAGCCACGACAAGAATCTCTATTTAGCATAGCATCAAGAGACGGAGCATCTCTTCCTTCGTCACAAGACTCTGGACCTTCAGCATTATTAGCCACAGAATCTCTTGCCAGTCTACTTTCCGACATAAGTATTGTGGCAGCCCCGACTGTTGATCTGTCAAACGCATGGCGTGCCAGATGGATGAGCTTGGTTGCAAGCACTGCTTTCCAAAGCAATCCAGCCATTCAACCCAGAGCATTTACTGTTATGGGCTGCTTGGCTCGGGAAGACGTTGATGACGATCTACTTTATCAAGTGCTCGTAGCACTCAGAAGTAGCATAGGTCGATATATGGATGACGGTGACAGCGAAATGATGGTTGCTATAGTCACAGCCCTGACCAAAATGATGGATAAATTACCATCAGCATCACGTTATGGGACCCAACTATTCTGGCTTGCGTTATCCCTTGTAAGATTGGTTCCGATTGGTCTTTTCAACTGCGCGGCAATGTTTCTGGACGCCGTCTTACTCAACATTGGAGCTTCTGGTGAACTCGGTAACGGGCGCATGATTCAAACATTGTTACTAGGCCGAGCGCCTCTTGATGAAGCAGCAATACAACTAGATGAGATATATGGAATCCATTTCACCGCAGAAAATTTCCACTTTGCAGTTTCTGCTTGCATGGTCAAAGGCATGACGGATTCATTGACAAGGTCTACTGCTATGCGTGTTATCTCGACATTTCTCGATACGACCACCACTAATGCACCTGAAGGAATGTCATTCCCGCAAGATGTTAGTTGCATGCCATATCTTGGTCTTCTCCTGGGTCGAGCTCTTAGTCCAGAAGATGCAGGGCATAGCTTATGGCTAGCAACTGCCACCCAAGGAGATCGTACCCCACACGCAGAGCCAGATATGGAAAGTATAATGGAAATTGCCGGTCTCAATGAGAAGGACTTGCTCCTTACTTGCGCCATTGGGCTAGTCGACTTCCACTACTTAGACGATACCATACAAAACAGTGCATTTCAATGGCTCAATAAACTTGCCATATCGTCGTCAAACGTTATGTTACGACTGTAAGTCATTTTTCCATGCTCTGTTACATCAAGACTATTACTAATTATGAGAAGGGCTGGCCCAATCACAAGCATATTAGACGACGTTCTTATGTCTTGTCAAAATTCGATAACGCTCGAATCTGCACATCAGTTACTACGCACTATTACCTCAAATCCTCAATTCTCGGCCGCGATGAGAGATGCTGATGTGTTAGATAAAGTATTGGGAAGTATAGGGTTTGGAGGGCTGTGGAAGAATTCGACGTACCAGGGCCATCATGAGGTTGCCAGAGAATGTACTACTCTGACTGATAGGCTCATTGAGGTATGCATCGTTCTTTATTTTCTTGCTGGAACGTTGAGACTAACTTCAGATTGCAGCTTATCATAGCATAAATAGAACGAACGGATGGAATGGGGCTCTTTTAGGAGAAAGAGGGCGGGTATGTGGTTGGTCAAGTTAGTAGCTGATGACGAAAGCGAAACGAGGCATGAACCATGATTTATGATAGGATAAAACTGCTCCTTTGATTGTTTAGCATTAGCTTTAGGATAAATGATACCCTGTTCATACAAGTGAAAGCTCTAGAGTACAATCCGGCATGAAGATAAGGCGAAGTGGTGCAAACGCGGCTTATGTGTTTTGGTGCACAGTGGACTTTGATGACGATATAATAGTCAATGATGCTGGTTTATGTTTTATTATATCTCAACTTTTGTATCTTGTATGTATGGTGATACTAACGAATTTATAGGAGCTTGATGCAGAAATCATTTTTGGAGAAAGTGCTGATTCGTTATATAATGCTGTTACTTGAAACAGTCTACATGTATATTTTCAACAATGATGAGTTTTGGCCCTGGCTACTTCTCTCTTATCACATCATCGTGATCATCATTGATCCTCTATAATAAACTCTGCTCCTCTCTCTGCAACCGCATATACTAAACTCTGTAAATTCCCTCTCACCAACAGTGGGAAAACACTAGCATCGATCACTCTTAGTCCCCGGACACCATATACTCTGAATTTCTCATCAACTACCCCGCCCTTACCCAAAGGGAGCATTGAACAAGTACCAATGGGGTGGTATTCAGACTGCAGGTTTGCTTTGATGAACGATTCAATGTTAGTTTCATTGAGAGGGTAATAACCAGGCTGGTAGATAGTGCCATTTCCTTGAAGGTAGGTGGAGAGTGGAGAGACTGAGGCGAGGGATTGGAGGTGATACGCGATGGCGGTGAGTAAAGTGAGATCGAAGGGATGAGAAAGGTAATTGGGGTCAAGTATTGGGTAGACGGACGGGCAAGAGGAGGATATGTGAGTGGAGCCGCGGGAAAATGGGTGTTCGAGAACACCCAGGAGACTGAGGAAGTTGCCAGGTGAAGAGGCAAGGAAAAGCTGGGACGAGTCGTTGGACTTGAGAGGGGACATTCCACCGCTTACAGTGAGTCTATGACAGAGTGTTAGTTGAAGGGTTGAGGGGACCCGGCGGCCTATGTGTGCAGTATAAACATCCAGGGTTTTCAGTGGGACAACTTAATAAATATCTGCTGGTTATGAAAAAAAAAGCAGTTCCTATCGAAAGCTCACTCACTCTTGTGTAACTGCCTCACTAGAGAAATGTTTCGCCTGCAATTCATACTGCTCTTTTAATCCAGGAGTGAGGGAATTTGAAAAGTTTGCAGGTGGTCTCAGATTCCCGCAGCCAATTTGTGGACAGGATAAAAGTCCTGAACTCGCACCGGTGGTAGCAAGTGGACCAGTAGCATTGGCAACATATTCTTCATATGCAGCATCGAAAAATGCAGGATCGGTGAAATTGTCCAAGGTGGTTATGCCAGGATTGACTTTGAAGCTGAGAGGCTTTGTTAGAAGTAGTGTTAAAAAGCGGCATATTTAGATTCCTTACCCGATTGGGACGTAAATATGATCTTGTAAGTTCTCGCCCACATTTCTGTTGTTCACAAGAACTTCGATCCCTTGCTTTTTGAGAACGTTAGGATCTCCGATGCCTGATAGCTCAAGGACTTGGGGACTTCCAATCGAGCCCGCAGATAAGATTACTTCTTTCTTTGCGTGAGCAGTAGTTCCATTTGAATATTGCACCCCATTCGCTGTAACTATATCGTGACCCTTTTCGAGGATTATCTTTTCCACGAGTGCTCCAGTGATGACTTTCAAGTTCGGTCGCTTTGAAGCAGGGAGATAATATGCAGTTGCCGCATAACTTCTCTTTCTACCATCCAGGTCCAAGTTCAAGAGATTAGTGTATCCTCCTAAAGCTAAACCATCTCTCGGATCATTTTTCACTTCTAACCCAAGAGCTTGATAAGTTCTAGGCCACGCTTCATCTATTGGGCCATAGATATCCGGAAATGTGTTAACAATTGGTCCATTGTCACCATGTAAAGTTGTAACGATATTTCCAGTCTGTAAGTCTTGCTCAACAACACCTGAAGGTGAAACGAATTGCTCGGAGCGCTTGAAGAATGGATCTAAGGCTTCCCATGACCAGTTCGCGTTTCCAAGCTCGCCCCAGCTATTGATGTCTTGCTGAGAGGCATGCGTCCAATACAAAAAGTTTATAGCACTCGAACCTCCAAGTTGTTTGCCTCTTGGGTGGGCTACAACTTGATTGTTTGCGTGTATCTTTGAAAGATGTCAAGGTTTACTCCTCGTAAGGGAGAATAATATCGAACCTACCTGAGGGATAGTTTTGTAGTTCCAGTCATACTCAGGATTGCCATACATGCCGGTATATAGACCGGGTGCAAGTACATTAATGTCACTTGAGTGATCAGTCCCAGCTTCTAGAACAAGCACAGAATTTTGGGGATCTTCACTCAGACGGCTCGCTATTGTTAGGCCGGCTGTACCACCACCGATTATGCTAGAAGGGGTCAATTTACATGATGACGTGAAAGATTTCCTGTGACTCACATGTAATCATAGCTTTGAACGGTCTGGGAAGTGGTAGCAGTGGAGAGGAGTGCCTGAAAGCAAAATGACTTAAACAGTGATCGGAGAACTGCCATTGTATCAACACAAACATTCAAGATAATTCAGCACACTGAGATATCTGAGCTTTCGCACCCTTATATATACTTATACTCACTATTTCAGACCATGCTGCTTAGTACGGTTTATAATCAACAATATCACCAAATTAATACTTGGCGTGTGTTTATGTGCAGCTGAAGCTTGGAAGAATGAAATGTGATCAGAAACTACCTATCTGGAAGGCAGGGTATGACAATCCGTAGCAGAACAGGACGAGATACCAAATACCCTTGGGAAGAAGAAAGGAACGCCTTGGTGGACCATCTCAGGATATTATGCCTTTCAAATCAGTCATACTGGTTGGATTCGTGACCTGAGAACTACCACAGGCTGAATTCGGATTCCATGTATCATGATTACTAACATGATGAATGAGCAGATCTTGATTGAATAAATAAAAATCATGCAACAAACCGAGCCGTCTGATGTGATTACTTGCCGCCCATTTTGGAAGGGTTCGAATCAATAGTTACGGCGATGAATTGCATGGTGAGGCATTTGGACATTAGAAGGTTTAGCGCCTGGTGTTACGCAAGGCTGACTGACAGCCTCGATGCCACCAGCTTTGATTGGTTAAGTGACAATCAATTTTGACTCACACGAAATTCGGTGCCCGCCCTCGTTTCGACCCCGCCAAATTTATATCCACAGGAAACTCCTTCTAACATTCTTGAGACTTTCCATAACTCAAACACAAGCAAATATGGATTTCCCAAAAGAGGAAGAAGAAGTTCTCAGAAAGTGGAAGGAGATTAACGCTTTCGAGCGACAACTCGAGTAAGTCAACCTGCAACAAATGTAAACAAAATCAATATGTCCTGACATTGTTTATTTTGATTATAGACTTTCTGAGGGAAAGCCTCGATATACCTTTTATGATGGACCTCCTTTCGCGACTGGTTTACCACATTATGGTCACTTACTCGCATCTACCATCAAGGATATCATCCCTCGGTATTGGTCAATGAAGGGCTACCATGTCGAGAGACGTTTCGGATGGGACACACACGGCTTGCCGATTGAACACGAAATTGACAAAAAGTTTGGTATTTCTGGAAAGGATGCTGTCATGAAGATGGGACTGGCAAAATACAATGAAGAGTGTAGAGCTATTGTTATGCGATATTCGTCGGAATGGCGCACGACAATCGACCGACTAGGCCGCTGGATCGATTTTGATAATGACTACAAGGTAGGTCTCTATAGAAGCGGATTGGCATCTTCAAGCTGACAATCTTAGACAATGGACCCCAAATTCATGGAATCAGAGTGGTGGGTATTTAGTGAAATCTTCAAGAAGGGATCTGTCTACCAAGGCTACCGAGTTATGCCATACTCGACAGTTCTCACCACAGCTTTGAGTAATTTCGAAGCAAATCAAAATTACCAAGATGTCACTGATCCTGCAGTTGTCGTATCTTTCCCTTTATTGAAGGACCCCTCAACGTGTCTCTTGGCATGGACAACCACTCCTTGGACACTTCCATCGCACACTGGTTTAGCCGCGCATCCAGATTTCGAGTACGTCAAAATTCACGACGAAGCCTCGGGAAAGAACTATATCTTGTTGGAGAAATTACTCGGTACACTATACAAGGACCCTAAGAAAGCCAAGTTCAAGATTGTGGAAAAGATCAAGGGTAAAGATATGCTTGGTTGGCAATATGAGCCGCTTTTCGACTATTTCTATGATGAATTCAAGGAGCATGGCTTCAGGGTCTTGAACGCTGCGTATGTCACCGACGACAGTGGTGTTGGTATTGTTCATCAAGCACCAGCTTTTGGAGAGGAAGATTACAATGTCGCAATGGAAGCCGGTATCATCAACGAGCAGCGACCAGCTCCATGTCCAATCAATGAGACCGGTCACTTCACTGAGCAAGTTCGGGATTTTGCAGGTCTTCATGTTAAAGCAGCCGACAAAGCCATCATTAAATATCTGAAGGGAACCGGGCGTCTAGTTGTCGAATCCTCTATCAAGCATAGTTATCCTATGTGTCCGCGATCAGACACCCCATTGATCTACCGAGTTGTTCCTTCTTGGTTCATCAGAATTCCCGAAATTGTTCCTGATATGTTGAAGAATATTGAAGGCTCGCACTGGACTCCATCTTTTGTCAAGGAAAAGCGTTTCGCTAGTTGGATCGAAAATGCCCGTGACTGGAATGTTTCGAGAAATAGATATTGGGGAACTCCTATCCCAATCTGGGTCAGCGACGACTATGAAGAGAAGGTATGCATCAGCAGTATCGCAGAGTTGAAGGAGCTCAGTGGTTATGAAGGCGAAATTACCGACCTCCACAGAGATAAGATTGATCACATCACCATTCCAAGTAAAATGGGTAAAGGCCAACTCAAACGTATTGAGGAAGTCTTTGATTGTTGGTTTGAGTCTGGCAGTATGCCATATGCCAGTCAACATTACCCATTCGAGAACAAGGATAAATTTGAGCAATCTTTCCCTGGTGATTTCATTGCGGAAGGTCTTGATCAAACTAGAGGATGGTTCTACACCCTTCTTGTCTTGGGCACACATTTATTCGGCGTTTCGCCTTTTAAGAACTGTGTTGTCAATGGAATCGTACTTGCAGAAGACGGCAAGAAGATGTCAAAGCGCTTGAAGAATTATCCTGATCCTGGCATTGTCATGGACAAATATGGTTCTGATGCTTTGCGTTTGTATCTCATCAATTCCCCAGTTGTAAGAGCTGAGCCATTGCGTTTCAAGGAAGCTGGAGTCAAGGAAGTTGTGAGCAAGGTTCTTTTGCCTCTGTGGAACAGTTACAAGTTTTTCGAAGGGCAGGTAGCATTGCTCAAGAAGATGGAGAACGTTGATTATGTATTCGATCCTACTGCCGAAGCTACTAACACCAATGTTATGGATCGATGGATTCTTGCTAGTTGTCAGAGTCTTCTGAAGTTTGTCAATCAGGAGATGGCAGGTGAGTCGATCCTTCACAATTTCTTCTGTGAGTGATAACTAATAAACTCAGGTTACCGTCTTTACACTGTCGTTCCCAGATTACTGGATCTCATTGATAACACCACAAATTGGTACATTCGTTTCAATCGTAGACGTCTGAAGGGTGAATCTGGTCTAAACGACACTAAGCACGCACTTAACACTCTCTTCGAAGTCCTTTTCACTCTAACAAGAGGACTTGCTCCATTCACACCATTCCTTACAGACAACATTTATCAACGTCTGTTGCCTCACATTCCCAAGGAGCTGCAAGCTGAGGATCCACGAAGTGTACACTTCTTGGCTTTCCCAGATGTGAGAGAGGAACTCTTTGATGTAGAGGTTGAGCGTCGTGTAGGTCGCATGCAACGTGTTATTGAGTTGGGCAGAGTTTCCAGAGAACGCCGCACAATTGGTCTCAAGACCCCTCTGAAAACTCTGATTGTCATCCATCACGACCCAGTTTACCTTGAAGATGTCCGTTCCTTAGAAAGCTACATTACCGAGGAGCTCAATATCAGAGAACTTATCCTCACCTCGGACGAAGCGAAGTACAACGTACAATACAGTGTTAATGCTGATTGGCCAGTTCTTGGAAAGAAGTTGAAGAAGGAAGTTCAGAAGGTCAAGAAGGCTTTGCCAGGATTGACTAGTGAGCAAGTTCACAATTACGTGTTAGAGAAATCAATTGTTGTCGATGGTATCAAGCTCGAAGAGGGTGATTTGGTTGTCAAGCGAGGTCTTAAGGATGATGAATCTTCCAAGAACCTCGAGACCAATACAGATGAGGATGTTCTTACTATCTTAGATGTTGAACTCCATGCAGATCTTGCAGATGAAGCATTGGGCCGCGAGATCATAAATCGTGTACAAAGATTACGCAAGAAGGCTGGTCTTCAACCAACGGATGATATTAAGATGGAGTACAAGGTCTTGGAAGATCCTTCGAGCATTGGTCTACGTGAAGCTTTTACTAGTCAAGCACAGGCCATTGAGAAAGCATTGAGAAGGCCTTTGAACGAAGCAGAAGGAAGTGCAGCAGAAGAGAGTGTCATTCTGGAAGAGGAACAGGAGATCCAAAAAGCTACCTTTTCACTCAGACTGTTGAAGTTATGATTTGATATTCCATAGAAAAAATTTCGGGTATAAACAGACATTCTAGATATCTATCTTTCTAGCTTACAAACACCTCTTTTCATGAAAGCACGAGGGTCATTGCATAGGATCTGTCTATTTCATGAATTCGCGAAATTAGGCAAAAGAATATGTTCATGAAAACGTGAAAGTTACTGAGAACTTAAGAATGCGTTTAGAATAATCTCAATTGCTTGAGACACTGAAAGGGGACGGCAACGTGATAATCCGCTGTGTACATACCAAACTTTGCTTTGAATACATTCAAAATTACGACATAAAACTTCACATACAGTGATGCAAAAAGTACACATTTTAGTTGAACAAGACGACAGACAGTACACGGCTTTTGAATGAATTAAATTTCCTCTTTAAGAAATAGATGAACAAATCTCCTCTACTTCTTCTTCGCGGCAATCTGAATAGGTAATTGTAAGTCACGAACAGTACTGGTGAAAATATGAGTTGAATACACTTACCAAATAACAATCTTTCAATCTCATGAATTCAGTAAGACATTTGTCTTTGTGAACAGAATTGTAATCGGCTACTATGCATTTGCCGTATAGGGAGGCCTATGATTGGGGTTGTCAGTTTTTGAGGAGGCGGTAATGGGAAGGACAGTAATGGGTTGTGGAGGCGAAAGCTTAAAGGTGCAAGGTATTAAGGCGATTAACATCGGGAAGGATAAAGGTAGGGGATGAATATATGATGGGTGGATGGATGGATGGATGGATGGATGGATGGATGGATGGATGGGGGCCAATAATGGGGAGGTTATAGAGGCGAACAATGTATGTATGTATGGAGGGGTAGGGTTTGAAGCGGGTTGGATGTTGAAAGGCGAATCATGTGAAGCGGGATCAAAGTTAGAAGAAGAGCCAAATCAAAACGTACCTCTGTAGAGCATTTGGCAACGGCTTGTGCAAATTTCTCAATTGGTCTTATTTGAGTTGTTCGTGGAGGCATGGTTTGTGAGGATATAGAATTATTTTGTATTTGGTGACGGTGATAGCGGTTGAGTGGCTGGTGAGTGAGGCAAGAAAGTAGCGAGGCACCAGTACTTAGGTATTTGTTAGTGAAGACTAATAATAAGAAGCACGTGAGCTTCTACTGGTATTTGGGAAAGGTACACCTGATATGGTGGTTCAATTGGTGATTGATATGAGTGATGTTGTAGTGAAGACTAAAAACTATAATTTGTATTGATAGAGTTCAGATACCAACCAGCGTGTAGTATGATAATTCATTAGTACATGATGCTACGAATAGAAGTCAAAAAGACGGATTTCGATTTCGATAGATCCGATGATTAGTCACCACGATAAGACATGTTATCGACCCAATCACAAGTACGGTCGTCAAAGTTCGCTAGATGTAGCTTCAAATACAGGGTCACTTAGCTTCGATTAGCGCCAGAAAGCTTCAGCACCAAAATTCGACCGGTAAACTTTATTCTCGTCGCGTCCGACAATTCCATTTCATACTTCCCATCACCCAAAGTCGCGAAATCATGTTCCTCCCTTCAGCCCGCGTCGTACATTCACAAATTCAGATATCAAAAGCTTCAAAGAAATTTTGCAATTCCAATTCTCATTCTCATTCCCAGTTTAATTGCTGTATATCCCTGCTGTACCTTTCTTTCCCCTTTTTTCGCTTTTGACTGCTGTTTTATCGCCAAGACGCGATACTGTATGTACAAATTATAACAATCCTACTTTCCCACCTATATGCCCTTTTGATAAGGTCCCATGTCTCCTTTGTCACTTCCGTCCCTTTATGACGGCGGTCAATCATACAGTTGGACAACCACCACTGATGAACCTTATTATACTGATGATGGTGTGTTTCAATTCAATTGAACATGCGCATTGATTAATGCTAACATGTTTCATAGATTTGGTTATTTTACACGATATCGTTGTTCGCGCACAACATATCTTACCCACTCTACCTCCAAAGGATAGACTCCCCACATTAGCACTCGCCAGAGCATACTATGAATTCCTACCTGATCTTGGAATTCATCCCGACCATGACAGTCGATACTTCAGATTTATATTCAAAATCGGCGTCACTGGAGAACCCACCGGCACACTCTTCGACAAATTCGAAGAATGTTTGGCCAAACGAGGCATTACGCTCGAATTCGATTACAATACACACGACTATCTACGAAGTAACAAAGCTGCTTCTCAAGATGTCGCGGATAATAAAGAAAGCGACACTCTCTATAACGATGAGAATGAATCACCACTACCACGACGCAATTCAGAGACAGGCGTCTTGGATCTGGGGATTGCAGCTCAGGCACGAGCTCCACCACAGGAGCCAAAACATAAAAGGAATAAATCAGTCTCCCCTCTACCTCTTGGGCCTGCCACGCCCGCAAAATTAAATGAACTGAAGAGCTTCATTTCGGAAGCTACTCGCGCACCATCACCGGAACCTATCCCAGAACCTACACCACAACCACCTAGAACCACCCAAAAAGGGCGCGAAGAACGTGGACTAAACAACGTTAGAAATTGGCTTGAAGCCAGTGAGGATGGGTCGCCTCGCAGTCAGAGCAGATCGATTTCTGCACATGGTAGCATTCGCTCAATTAATCGACACCCAGAGAGAGGTGCTTCAAGGGGTCGTCCACCTGGTCGCATTCCCATAAACAACACCACATACGAATATCAAGACGTCAGCGATGAGTTGACCACCCCTTCGGAAGCTGAGGAAGATGAAGCGCAAAAGGCCGAAGAACAAGAAGTAGAGGAGCAAAAGATTGAGGAGCTCGAATCTGACGACGAAGATGGCGAAGAGCAATTTCATGACTCATTTGAGGAGTTAGAAGAGGAAGAGGACGACGAGGAATTCTATGATGCGAGTGAAGTATTCGATTTAAACAACCCATGGGTTCGACATGTAATCAAACAAAACAAAAAAGCGAAAATCATCAGGGAACATTATCTTCATGATTTGGTGATCAGAAAGCTACTTTCATGGCGAGACCAAGCAAGAGAACGTCTAGAACGAAAAGCGAAGCTGAATGCTGTAGCTGTGAAGCACGACACCGGCGCCTTGAAAGAACAGGCCTTGTCTGGCTGGCTCGAAAGAGCTCGCGCCAAAAAATTTCAACGCTTGCTACTGGAAGCCCAGGCGCAACAACAACGTCGTCAGGAAGAGCAACGTCTTGAAGAAGAGCAACGACTTCATGAAGAACAACACTTTCAAGAAGAGCAAGAGAAGCAACAACTTGCCCGACAAGCTCAATTGGAACCCAAAAAAGCTGAACCGAAAGCTGTCGCAATGAAGAACAACAACAACGCTCTGAAGGAGCAAGCACTGTCTGGCTGGCTGGAAAAAATCCGTGCTAAAAAGGCACAAAAGCTACTTCTAGAAGCTCAGGCGCAGCAACAACAACGCCTTGACGAACAAGAGAAGCAAAAACTTGCTTATCAGGCTCAATTGGAGGCTGAGCAGAGACTTCATGAACAAAACATATATGAAGCTCAACAAGCAAAGCTTTATAAAGCTCAGAAAGATTCCGAAAAAGCGCGTCTGGCCGAATTGGAAGCCGAGAGAGCTGAATTAGAATTTGAGCAGAAATTCCGGGCGAAGGGAAAGAAATTTGCAAGGATCGGATTAAGAGCCGTGTCGTGCAGAAATGATCACCTCAAGGAGAAGGCTTTCACCCATTGGTTGGCGATAGCTCGAGACAAAGTTGAAGCCACAAAAGCCGCAGAGAGACAAATGATGAGGTCACGCACTTTCAAGGCCTGGAAGTCTCACACGAAGGAGAGTGAGGAGAAAGTTCAGCTGGGCGAGGAAAAAGCTCGACAAGTCCAACTGAAAAAATTCCTCGGCAAATGGAAAGCAAAGAAGGAGAAAATCGAAGTGGATGAATTGGAAGCTGCTGAAGTTGACAAGTGCAACATGCTTGAGCGAGTCTTTTCAAAGATGGCCGAGAAGAAAAAGGTAAAAGATTTTTCCAAGGGAGTCGAGCAAAGGAGTAAGCAACGGGCTTTGTCGACATGGGTAGAAAAGGCACAAGCTGTGGCCGAAGCCACTCAGCTTGCAGATGACGAGAATCTACTGAAGGCGGTCGAGAAAACCATGAAAACTTGGAAACAAAAGACAGTAAAACAAGTTGCACTTAGTCAGGAAGCCGAGTTTATAGCCGAAACGAAGAAAAAAGCCGATTCTATGCAGAAATGGCACCGCGAAGCTCAGACAGCCCCTGCTAGAAGAAGGGTACAGGATGGCCACAATGCAGGTGTACTCAAAGGCGCTTTGCATAGTTGGAAAAAACGTGCCGAGAAAGAGAAACAAGCTGCGGAGATCGATCGTGCCAAGATCCTCCGTGAAGCATTTACTAAATGGCGACATCAGACCAGGGCGAAGATATCACAGGCCATTTCAGAAGGCCGCGCTGTAGCCAAAGCCTTCAAAATCTGGGAATTACAGACAAAATTAAAAGGTGCAAAGGCACGGAGGGAGGAAGATATTAAGTTTGCATGCTTGGAAGTCTGGTTCGATAGGGCTCAAGATACACGAAGCAGACGCTGGGAACGCGAAGAGACGGCTCGACGATACGACAACACAAACCTAGCAACATCTGTCCTTAAATGCTGGTATGCAAGAATGGACGAAAAGGCCGATTTTGAAGCCCAAGCGACGGAACTTCAAGCTCCACGAATTCTAGGTGAATGTTTCGACTCTATGCGCGAGAAGGCCAAGAAAATCGCCATAGATAATAAGACCGCTCGCGGATGCAGAAAATTCTTCCTAATGAGGACGGCTTTGTATGCGTGGCGAGACGCAACATTCAAGTCGAAACGAGAAAAGCGCAAACAAGCATACATTAAAGTTCGAAGAAACAGAAAATACGCTATTGGAAGAAGATGGCTTTCTTGTTGGCACGCCAAGGCGCAAGAGAAAATGGCACTGAATGAGCAGGCTGGCCAGTTCGCCCAAGGTAAAACATACATCATAGGTATGGACAAGTTTGACCAATGGAGAGCTCGAACGGATGAAGTAGCCGAATATGAACCCCTTTGGAAAGAGATGGTCATGAGGAAATTTTTCAATAGATGGAAGGATCGCACCGAGTCATTACAAGTGTTGAATATCGAGGCAACACTTGACCACCAGGAGCATAATCAATCCGAGGCGCTTCGAAAATGGAGATTGAAGGCGATTCAAGCAAAAGCCAGGGCGAATACTGCAAAGGAAGTGCACGATAGGAGCACAAGAAGGGGACAGAGAAAGATGCTTCATCACTGGCAAAAGCGAACTGCGAATCAGCGACCAATCGTTGAGGATGGCACACCTCCTGGAACTGAGACAGCAGAGAATTGGTCAGATTTTGGAGATGAAGTTGAGATGGATGAAATTTCACGAAGGCTTTACGAGAAGCGATCGGCTGTTGAGAAGAGGCCGGCTGTCTTGAATCCAATAACTCCTGGATACATGGCTACACCCTCTCGAAGAAGAGTTGCTGCATCTGTACGTTATCAATCTACAAGTGCCAGAGGGACATTGCAAACCCCCAGAACTGCTCCGATCAGGAGTAGGTTCAGCGAGTTCAAGAGCATCAGGGAATGATTACGCTGGAATGACAAAAGGTGGAATTTTTAAGATGGCGTTTTTGGTTAAAGTATAGATACCCCCCCCTATGAATGGTTGGAATGGAATGGGACGATTGGAATAGATTAGATATCAATAATTAAGTATTAAAGAAAACATTCTTCCCAATACCAAAGTGAAACTTGTGAAATTTATGACGTGACGTAGCAAGATTACATATATCATCAAATTTGGATAGATCTGTTTGTAATGCTGCAAACGTTCGTATGGTTGTGATATATATGAATCTAACTCTGTTTCCAGTCTTTGGAGAGTAGTATAGGCGATGGTATGTAAATATCATTTCGTTCTATTGTTATTCTACTCAGTATTCCCCCTAGTATCTGAAGAGACATTGCCAAAACGGCGCCAGTTAGGGCTCTAAAACTATGTGTGCGATCGCATGCCCCTGATCTAGGTATACTTCTCTGAATCGAAAATGCCATTTTGTGATACTCCACCTATTTTGTCCCAATCCAATTTGACTGTGTAGATTTGTTCATTTGTTCATTCCTGGAAACTTTTGAACAGTGGTAAAGTCAACGAACCCACTTAGGTACATCAGGCGAGTATATCCCAATGTTCGAGACACAGGCCGACAGAAAAGAGGTTAATTTTAGATTTCTAACGGAACTCGAAGATGTGCCCCCTCATCAGATGATATTCAAGCGAGGAACATTCTCAGAACTTGTACTACGCGTTGATCACCACCAAAAGACCGTTGTTGTAAGTATGGAGAGGGATTTCTTTTTTCAGAGTTGCTATTCTTAGATCATGTAGACACATAGCCGTACTTACAATCCAGGGTCTAACAGCATTGTTTAAGCATAATAGTCAGGTACTCGGATCCAATCTCAAGGTCGAGGGGTCTCTATGATTTTGTCAATCGGACCTTTCTACATTTCTACTTAACTATTAAGTAATAATATGAATTAAATTATTTCCTGATAGTTTATAGCCTTAGTTTGACATTTTATATACTTTCGAATTTCAAACCGATCCGGAAAGAATCTGATGATAAAATAAATGGTGATCTTAGATTTTGCGAGGTGATGAGCGTTACCGTATGATGTTCGACCTCCTTTTCCCCGAGTCGCGTATCGTTAGTGTATGTAAGAAGCAGGGTGATCATCGTCATCCTGCTGATTTCTTGTACGGAACCGCACTATCTATTGACCGAGACATCAATTCCAGCTACAATAATTGGGAATCCTCTTCACCAACAAACTTAATTGTTTTTCGACTCCTTTTACTCTTTGCCATTGAAAACTACCCATATTGAGAGACTTATTTGTGTTACTTACTGGAAATATGCTCCGGAATGCGCTCTGATAAATAGGTATGAGAGCAGTGCTTCCTGGAAAGGCACAGGCCAAGCTTCAAGCTGTCTGTACTGGTTATTGGAACGACAGGAGGCTAATAGTGAGTTGCAATGATGTTCCGGGCATATTGTATAGTTTTATTTCTTGCTAACGTCATGCGCAGGCCTACATTACGGGAAATGCGTTTGTTATACTTACCGGCGCAGACGCGATCCTACAAACGATATACGATGATGACGACACTCAACTCGAAGCTATTGCGCTGGATGAAAGTAGTGGGAAGATAGCAACGTGTGCGGGATCTAATGTCCGGATTTACAAACCATATGGTCAAGATGAAGGGGTGCTAAAGGTAACCATTACACAACCACAACTAGCCTCTTAAGATGCGGCGCTAAATATATCTAGTGGTCTTTGCAACATAGCATTTCGATTGATGAGAGCGGGATTGACACAGCGAACACATTATCATGGGGAATATCGGAAGAGTTGTTGGTGGGGAGCTCGTGGCTTACTTTGTATTCAACAATCGATGCGCCAGTAGTGGTTTGGAAACAACAACTTGCGAATCCGGTAAAGTTCGCAAACTTCTCTTACGATTCGGCGTTCATTGCCTCTAGTGGAAAATACGACAGGTTTGTGAAGATATGGAGGAGATTATCATTTGGGAACGACGACTCCAGATTTGATTTTACCTACCTACCACATCTGCGGGCAGTCACGAATATGCACTGGAGAAGACCGTTTCATATCGACCAAACCATTGATAATGTGCTATATACAGTGTGCGCGGACAATTTGCTAAGGATTTGGGCACCTACGGATGTGCATTCGCTACAGAGTCTACAACTTTGGGGACAGATCGATTTACAGGAATCTATACAACCGAGAGGATTGGACGGGGAAAAGGTGTCGAAATTACGATTCGCATTTATCATTGATGGGAGAGATTTTACGGTTGCCACGGAACATGCAGTGCAAGAGAGAGCAGCGACCGACTCGAAAGAGGACCACGCCCTGGCACATTTGATCGAAGTTGCAAATCGAAATCCGGAAATTTGCGTCGTACTAGATGAACATGGACACCTTTCTGCATGGGGACTGGAGAATATTGGGTCTAAAACGAAACAACCGACGAACATTTTCAACATTGCACATGTTGATGGTCTGGAATTAGGGTTGCCAGCGGAACTGGGCGATGATGCAAGCTATGTTCAGCTTTATAATTTCTGCAACCACTCTGGTGGTAATCTAAATGTTCTAGTCCACCATTTTGATGGGAAAATTGAGTTTTTCGAAGCTGACGTAGCCAACTTATTTGACCCTTCACCGAGGTTACATCGATTCAAATCGAAAGCTTTATGGACAGGTCATTCAGCTGCCATCAAGAAGATCGTGCGTAATGTCAGTGGACGAGCAGTCGTTTCGCGAACAGATGGCAACGAAAGTATAGTTTGGAAGCATATGGAACATGCAGGTGGAACTTCAGTATTCCGTCAAAGTATTATCACGCAATCTGAACACGTCCATAGGATATGCGTCATGAGAAAGGGAAACTTCGTGATTTATTTACACCACGATCACATCACCCTATGGGATACTAGACAATCCGCAGCGGTCAAACTAGCAGATTGTAAGTTTTCGATCATAGGCAAACCTTTGTGTATTCTCATGCTACCGGAGGTTAATAAGGAGGGTCCTGTTGCTCATGTTGCTACCATTACTTCAAAGATGAAGGGTATTGTATGGGAGGTCAGATTACCCCAAAGAAGAGTAAGTGCTCAAGTCAATGGATACCATCAAGAAGCTTCCATTCGCGAATTTTGTCAATTTGGCCTTGGAAACGATGACGATTTAGCCTATGTTCTACCAGTGGATCCAGCTGGATCCCCTCCGGTTATCTCGGGATTCTTAGATACTTTTGCAAGAGATATTGCAATTTCGTACACGCATTCTGGACTGTTAAGATCTTGGACCGCCCGAATTGACATCGAAAAAGAAACGGTTGACTGGCTACAGACTTGTTCAGTAGATACAGGTATTAGCGAGCCTGCTTTAGCTAGTGGGAGCTCCATCAGGAAAGCTGCACTTGTGAACTCAAGTAGATCGGAATTGACCATTTGGGACGTCAGAGGTGCACGACTTGAGTATTCTCAGGATTATGAATCCCAGGATACTATTCAAGATTTGGACTGGACTTCAACGCCTGACGATCAATCGATTCTGGCTGTTGGTTTCCGTTACCGCGTTATATTATTGGCTCAAATGCGATATGATTATCTGAACAAAGGGCCAGCATGGGCCGCAATCCGAGAAGTCAATATCCGAGATTTGACACCCCATCCGATTGGTGATTCGACTTGGTTAGGAGGTGGCAACTTCATCGTTGGTGCTGGTAACCAGTTATTTGTTTATGATAAGGAGGTTGACTCGTCAGCATCAACTTTTCTACCGCCTCGTAAAACTCCTTGGGACCTCTTCGATATCGTTTCAAGGTTGAACGGCCCACTCCCAGTTTATCATCCACAATTCCTGAGCCAGTACATCCTTGCCGGAAAGAATTTATTAGTTCAGCATATTCTATTGGCACTATATAAGATTCTTAAATATTATATTGAGGGTGAACCAATCGACTCCCACCTGGGGATGAACATAGAAGATTTCTATATCAGCTCGGAAAACGCACCTTCAGCTAGTAAAGGAATCAAGTCTACATTCGATGGCTTCTCCGAAGAAAATGAGGTGGAAACAGTCACAGAGAGTGTTGCGGCTGCTATAACCGAGAAATTGACACAGATTGCTCTACCTCAACTTTCGAGGCAGGAGCAAATTCATCTGGCTGATATCGTTGAATGCGTAGCTATAGTTGAGCGTCAACGTAGATCAATGGATGATAATGCCGCAAGATTTATGTTATTCTTCAGACAACATGTTTTACGTCGTGGCCGTGCGAACGAACTTAGTCTTTCTTGGAGGGAGATCAATTGGGCATATCATAGTAACAGTCAGGATATTCTGGCCGATATGGTATCACGACAATTCCATGGAAGAATGCTTTGGGAACATGCACGAGAAAGTGGTATCTTTATGTGGATGACGGATGCAAATGCTCTGGTATGTAAATATTCTGTCTCCAAACTCAAGGAAGCTAACAAAAAACAGAAAGCTCAATTTGAAGTCATCGCTCGGAATGAATATACGAAGAGTGATCTCAAAAATCCCATAGATTGTAGTTTGTACTATCTTGCTCTCAAGAAAAAGGCGGTACTACAAGGTCTATGGCGTATGGCTGCGTGGAACCGTGAACAAGGTGCTACCACAAGACTTCTAGCAAATAATTTCTCGGAAAAGAAGTGGAGAACTGCTGCAATGAAGAATGCATATGCTTTACTTGGGAAGCGTCGATTTGGTGAGTAATGCACTGGGCTTGTCTTATTCAGTATTGCTAACCATAATCAGAATATGCTGCCGCTTTCTTCTTGTTGGCCGATTGCCTGAAAGATGCTGTCAACGTGATTTTGAGCCAACTCAAGGATCTTCAATTGGCCATAGCAGTCACTCGTGTGTATGAAGGAGAGCATGGACCCGTTCTCAAAGAACTTCTCGAAGAAAAGGTTTTACCGTTAGCTGCTCAAGAAGGCAACCGTTGGCTTGCATCATGGGCTTTCTGGATGTTACATCGTCGTGATATGGCCGTGCGAGCTTTAATTGTGAGAGCCTCTCTTCTTTCTCAAAGATTTCCTACAGTACTAATGCCACTTCTCTAGTCTCCGGTCTACACACTCCTCGAAACCCCTCAATCACCAGATCTCAATGCCAAACTCTTCCTAACTGACGACCCCGCTCTCGTAGTTCTGTACTCACAGCTTCGACAAAAAACTCTGCAAACCCTACGTGGTGCCTCAAAAGTAACACCAAAAGTCGAATGGGCTTTCGTATTACATAATTCCAGGTTGTATGATCGGATGGGTTGTGATTTGTTAGCATTAGATTTGGTTAGGAATTGGGAGTTCCTTCTTCCGACTAAACCAGATTTCAAGAGTTTTGATGGCGAAATTAATCCGAGAAAGATGCTGAGGAGGAGAAGCTCGCTGGTGGTGGCAGACTTACCGGCTAGTGGAATTGGTATGGGTTCTGCGGCCGGGGATGAGAAAGACATGCCAAAGGGACAACAAACCCATAAGCCACCGCCAACAGTCTTTGAGGAACCGGAGGCAAACAGCTTGTTGGATAGTTTCGGGTTTTAGGTGGTGAAAATCCAGGGGCAACGGTTAAGGAGGGTATTTTGTGAATGGCGTTTTATTTTTAGTTCTACTATGTATTACATACCCTACCAGATCTGGTCTTTAAGATGGGCGAGTTCTTGGGGTTGGATGGACAATTAGGAGCGCAAGGTACATCGCGCATGCATAGCGTATGGGAGCAATATATGGTAATATGATTTGAGTGTCTATATCTTATTGTTGATTAATGCTGTGGTTTGATGCCGGACCTGGATTCGGGGGGGTATGATCTCATTGGTCTCGTAGGCCGATTGTGCAGTGCAGTATTCAATGGTGCGTAGGCTAGCTGTTAGAGTATTGTAGTGGATATGAAACTTTTATTCAACATGATCGATGCTAGTTCGTCATGGGGAAATGTACTTTACTTGTTTGTATTGAGCTATTTTGAGAATTTTCAGTTTCTAGGTACACTCCAGCTTTTCTCCGGAGTCATTCAGCGAGATTAATTGATGAATCTGTATCTCCATAAAGCGTAAGATCAGTTTTCAATAATACTCGATACTCTATACTCATTATTTAAGTCGTGCGTAGTATGCATGATTCTAGAGGTCGCGTGTACAGCCATGATCCCATACCCTTCTGATTATATGACTGCAATTATACACCATCACTCACTTTCCACGCGGAGTCTATAAACAATATTCATATGTAGAGGTTTTGATACAATAGATGGGCTTTTTGAGTGATATATGCTATTTATAGTTATTCGCAAGTCATTCTCAAGCCACATTTTTTGAAGATTTGGAGTCACTGTGTGGTGAATTTGAAAGGGATGTAGGTGTGAGAGTCATATATCCCTCTTTTGCATCATGATTATTGTAATTTTGCTATTCTTTTACTTCTTTGGGAGTCTGTTGAGGTATATTCTGACCTGCGGATCTTCTTTTCTCCTTCTTTTCTCGCGATTTTTGTAGTCATATGGAGTCCAGACTTATGAATCATGTGTATCTAATACATTCTATATATGAATATGTTCTTTTCTTCTATATTCGAGTCATTGTTGGTATCTGTTTACAGTTCCTAAATGGACATAAAAGGGCTGGGCTCGGCTCTTTCGGAAATGAGCCCTGCTGAGTTGCATTCATCTACTTCTATATCGAAGATACACAGCATCAAACGTATGATTTTAGTGTTTAAACTTTCCACATTGAGGATACATACATTCAGTTACACATATAAAACCTTGCAACGTTGCTGCCAATCATTTTCTGTCTAAACTTATTCGAAACTCCCTGCTCCCTACTCCTCTTTCCATATTCTCCACATTCAAACCCATGGAACATCGTCCCACCGGCCGTCCCCAAGATCACCCAAACTACAATACCACTGTTACATCCGCCAACATAGGCATACGTATGCTAACATCCGGCTATGCGCCTGGTACCGAGCCAATAGCACGACCCCCAAACGCATTAGACGATCCTGAGTATTGTGCAGGATGCGGTACCTCGACCAACGGAGCCCAAGATTGGAAGAAAAGGCATTTACATCTTCGTAATGAGTGTAAGTTAGCTTACCAGAATAACACTTGTCGGTTTCCAAAGTATGTCACAAATGAGGAACATTAGTTCTATGAGGCTGATGAGAATAGAATTCCGGCGCCGTTACCGGCATCGGATCCAAACGGTGATAATACTGCTCATGATGATTATTACGGTGATTATGATGCTTATGCTAATAATGCCCTTGCGGGTGCTGTCTCCTACGATACGCAACAGTCCTTATACCCACAAGCGAGTAGTAGCACATCTCAAGCTGAAAGTTACTACCCGGCAACAACTACTGGTACCACTCAGGGTGGTCAGTACTCCTCGACGACTGATAGTGTGTCTCAAGATGTACACTACTATCCGGCAATTAGTAGCGCATCTCAAGGTCAAGATTATACAACTACCTCCCAGTATAGAGGTAGTGGTAGTCGTGGTTATCGTCGCGCAGGTAATAAGCGAAGAGACTAGAGTGATCGTGGTAGCGAAGGATAGATTAGCGAGCGTGATGGGGTTCGTGATTAGTGAAGAGAATAGAGTTAAAGACTTAGAATTTCTTGTAATCGTATAACAGCAAGAATAAACTATCACAATGATTTTTCGTATGAAGTCTATGTACAGAATTGCAAATGGGATTTCCAAGTGATCTAGACGTGTGTAATTATTTCATCATTATTAGATAGTCATTTTGCTTCTATTCTCGCGTTACTCTAGAGTAAATTTAAAGAAGATATTATGATCAATCATATCGTTCCACTTACTCGACAATCATATGTGATTAGATCCCGCAGTTAATACTCATTCAAATCGCAACCTCATTATACTCATTGTATTTTAACTCTTCTAGAATTTCTTCAGCAGCCACACAGTATAAAAACTCATGAGTAATAACTACTTATAACATTTCAACCTATGGGTATGTCATTTCTTCCACATTCGAGTCACCCCAAATTCTCATTTCCATCTCTCAAACGGTTACAAAAGGACTGCATCCTCTCCTTCTGAAATCGAGTTTTGTAGTTTTGCATCCGCTTCTACATTTACACATCTATGCACTTACATCGAGAGGACATCTATCCAATTGTCAGCAACCTATACCAATACAAAGAATCATATAACAAATAGCAGTACTGATACCTTATACGAACATCCATTCCCATCTATCAATTTCAGTACATCGTTGGCAGTCATTCTTGATTTCCAGCACAATACGAAAAACTCCTGCATTATTGCTATTCCGTAAAGCATAAGATATGTCAGACCACGGCAGTCATTACAGTAGTGATGGCAATCCTTTCAGTCACCCAGGCTACGGCGCTACTGTTATATCCGCCGGCGTAGGCATGGGCATGCTAAGATCCGGAATTCCAGCAGGAAATGAGCCAGTACCACGAGTTCCAAGATCATTATATGATAAAAAACACTGTGGAGCTTGTGATGCATCAACGGAACGCTCTGATGGACATTGGAAAGAAGAGCACATTCATGACAACATCGAGTGTAGAAGGGCCTACTTGGACGGAACATGCGAATATGAGAGATACGCGTTTGCAGTAATGCCGGATCGAATTTATGCACCCGAGGGATATGTACCACCCACACAAACTCCACAACTTCAATATTCAAACCCTCAATTTCAGATACAAGAAACTCAGGCTTATTCATCAGAACCTCCAGGTACCCAGTCTGAAACCCAATCAACTCAAGCTTATTTTATTCCACACTCACCTCAATACCTTCAAGAACAACAGCATTCAGATCAAGCACTTTCCCCTAACGCTTATCAAACTAATCACCCATCAGCGTGGCTACATTCGCGAACTAATCCTAGCCAGCCAGATCAGGGGTACACTCAACATCCAACCGAGATGCAAGACGACTCTTACACTGGTGATGAATCTCACAACTCCAGTCCTGCTCACGGTTCAGGAGCGCAACGTGCTCCTGTGGCAACTGTTGGCGCATCCCAAGGACGGGGGTATACAAATGCAACCCTAAATAGTGGCAGTAGCCACCGTGGTTCTCGTCGTGCTGGTAGTAGCCGAAGGAGCTAGAGTGCTTACAATAGCGAAAGGAACATTCACAAATGCAATAGGGATTGCGCTTGGTATAAAGGATGGATGGAATAGGTTAAAAGTTTGCCTGATTTTACAATCATAATAATAATACTACGATAATGACTTCTCATATAAGTTCTATGAATGATACTTATGTGTCGATTATTTCTAGTGTTGTAAATATTTTTGTCAAGTGATGTTTGTAAAGTCATTCGAAAATCATTTCGTGGTCACTTCAATTCTATTTTCGAATTGCTTCTAAATAAGTACATATTTTAGACTATGAATCATCTAACCTCAATATTCGACATTCTTTGCCCTCTCTGAAAAGGGCCTCGCTAGTAAGATTAGAATAAATAGTATTTTTGAACTTATTCGACAGTCACATATAATCCTATTCTGAGAACAATAATCATGTTAACCCAATTTGTGTTATAGTCGTTACACCGTACTCATTGTATTTTCATTATGAGCAACTCTCTCTCTCGTTATATGGTATGAAAGCCTATGAGTAATGTATATTTATAACATTTCAACCTATGAATACGTCTTTTTCTTCTCTTTTCGAGTCATGTTGGCATATGAATGTATACTTTTCTCACCTTTCGAACCATATTCGAAGCACATTTTCAACATCTTTACAGCTCCCAAATGTGCTTATAAGCGCTGAGATTCCACCTTATGGAGGTACTTTCTGTAGACTTACAACTGCTTCTACATCTCTATATCCATGCAAGCTTGTAGTCACATACATTCCAAGCTTTCAAAAGCCAGCTACTGACATCCAAGAACTCGGTTGCAAATTGAGTTTAGCGATCTCAACCCTTTAAGAAAAAAGATATGTCAAGCAATAGAAGTAACGAAAGGCGTCCAAGAGACTCACACCAGTCATCATCATCAAGACACTACCGTGGTAGTGGAAGACCTCATCAAGAGCCACCGCGACAAAGCGATCAGCAAGCCTCTTCATTCTCGTCATCATATCATCATGCTGTCGGAACCTCTCAGCAACAGTCCCCACAAGAGGCAAGCCAGCCACTTTCCGCAAACGAGATCGAATTTAACAATTACATGGCGAACGCTGCAAGACATGTCCCTGATAACTTTTACAATTCCACTGGAAATGATCAATGGGGACCTTTACACCTATACGCAGGCTTGCCAGTCTTAAACCGACCCACGCCCTCGGGAACCGAACCGGTAGCATTGAATGTTGGCCGGAACCATAGTTCCTGCGAAAATTGCCAGGCAGTACCCCCTATAAATTTTCCAGGAGCTCACTTTCGGTGGAAGTATAGCCATTTAGTTGACAATCCTGCCTGTCGGTTGGGAATGGAAAGGGCTCTTGCCAATGCCCCTGTCGTAACTCAGGCACAGGGAGAATATCTCCACGGCCAGGCTTTTGCTGACAACAATGATCATGGACAAATGCCACCTCCTGTACCTATCCCAGCTCATCCGTCAATGCCCTCATCAGCAGCTCAAAACACATACGCGAATACTCAAAGCCGATATGTTTCTCCATACCCACTCCAACAATCTCAACAGCCCCAACAACAACAGCAACAATACACCCAACAACCCCCCACAATTCAACCCGTTTTCGACCAGTCATCATATGACATATACGACGAAGAGTATGACAACGAGCAATTAGACAGTGCCGCAGCAGCGGATGAAACAGCTTCCGGCCCCGGCTGGGGCGTCGAACCACCAGTCATTGTCCCTCGATCAGCTTATCCCAGTTCTGAAAGTCGTGGTGATCGTGGTGCGCGTAGGGGCCGCAGAAGATAGGATCGTGGTAGCGAAAAAGACATTGATAAGCGAAGAAATTGTGGTTGGCGAAGAGGATAGAGGAAACACCATCAAATCTCTTCGCTTCGGGCTCTCTTGCATCCACCAAAAGTTTTCTATCTCTTACGTTTAATACATCAATATATTTCATTTGTTTCCTTTATCTCAAAGGCCCAATTCTTCAACACTTCAATAGATTAGGTTAGATTAGATTAGACGATAATAATAATAATAATACACCTGCCTGACTTTGCCCACCTACTCTACTATTCCTAGTACCTCTCAATATCTTATACCTACAGTGAATTGCTTTCATACTACTAAACTTTATATCTTTGTATACTCAAGTTCTCACAACACTAAGATTCCAACCTTAAATGGTTAGAATCTATCTCGAATTCATAAATCCTAGCTCCCATCTCAAATATCTCCATTCAAAAATCCAAGTCATATAAAACTAAACTTTCCTTACTTTCAGCAGACAGCCGGACAAGAATAACCTAGCCTACCTAAACCAATCTACAAGATTTGAAAAAGAAACAAACTATTTCTTTAATCAAGTACATGAGATGAGAATCCCAATGCAGCAGGATATCGACTTCGACTTTGAGTTTGAGTTTGAGTTTAAACAATCTGATATCATCGATTAGTAAAAGAAAAGGGATCAAAGAAGAATATGCATATCAAACTTTAATATGATAAGATAGGTATGATATGATACGCACTAGTTGTAAACCTACCTTCTTCCAGGCTATCCCATATCATCCTATCTCATCCCATCCGTCTCTCTCCAACCAATCGATTAATCAACTCCTCTGCCCCCCTCTCTCCTCTTCTCTTTATTCCCATTGTAAATAGTATAAAATACATTCCCCTCAAATGAAACATCTTCCCCCTCATCATCACTCAACCCCATCATCCCCATCCCCATCACATCACCCCCTCGCTTAATCACCCACCTCACCCACCTCCTTAAAAACAGAACACTACACTATCTACCCACTCTATCTACCAAATTCAAAATTCAAAAATTTCTTCCCACTCTACACCTACACCTATGCATAGATAAATAAATAGATAAATAATTACCCAACACCTAATAAATTCATCCATGCATCCATCCCTCAATCCACCCCCCTACTCTCCCCCTCAATCCAAAAACCAGAAAAACAATAGACAATTCATTTATTCTCTACCAACCCCCCAATGAACACACTCCCACGATAACCTTAAATAAATCGCTACTCCTGCTTAGATAATTAGTGAAAATGGAAGTAATAGTCATAGAAATAGTCATAGTAATAGCCAAAACTAACCATGTAATTACGCTCCCTCCCCCCTCTTTCCAAACCTAAGAATATGATAAACATCTGAAAATCAACCTCAACCTCAACCATCAAAAATCAAAAATCAACAATCAACAATCACAAGTCACAAACCATCACATCGTACCACCAGGCCCCCTCTACAAAAGGGTAACCTTCCCACACACGACATAAAACATAAACAAAGTGAAGTTTTCATTTATCATTTATCATCCATCAACTATCAAACTATCCATCTAAGATCCTGCTTGATCAAAGCTAATATTCCTCTTCCTCTTATGTTTATTACTCTGTCCTTTACTTATCCCTCCATCCCTCCGTTCAGCCATTCGTCAATATATGCTCTATCCAGATATACATTGCATCATATGACTATGTAGTATCCGGCTCACCAGCACAATGTCATGCAGATAGACACTCGAGACACTCAATGCTCGTTCCTGATGCAAATGCATGATCTCGCCAATCGAACTCCACGCCCAAGGTATCAAGACAAAGGAAAAGAATCGTGAATCAAGCCACCCCCTATGAAAAAGTGAAAATGAAAAGAAAAGTGGAGGGAAAAAGGTATTTCATCGTCAGTGAAATCCCCACAACATGAATGAAGCTGCAAAAAGAATCACGAAAGCCAAGTCAATAAACAGCAATCAAGCAATCAATTGTGGCGTGTCCTTTCCCTCTGGCTTCGAACTTCCCTCTTCAACCACAACCTGTCTTTCATCGTGTCCTGTTTCCGGATGAACCTCTCCCTCTCCCTCATTGCCTCTCTCAATCCCCTGTTGTCTCCTAATTTTATCTTCCTCCAATTCTGCCGCGACTCCTTTCCTAGGTCTTTCCGCCTTCTCCAATTCCTTCCTTTGTCTTTTGAAAACCGCTTTAATGCCCCCTCTATCCCCTTTCTTCTTCGCTTGTACCGCTCTCTCCGCAGCTCCGACCCCCTCAAACGCTCCATTTGAACGCCACGTCCTACGTTCTCGCATAACCTTCAATTTCCCTTTCAATCCCAATCCTCCGTCGCGTTTTTTCTCATCCATCAATTTCCATACTTCTTGTATGACATTCCATCCATGCGTAACTCTCTCTTCAACCCCCTTTCTCCCTTTTGAATCCTCATCGAGAATGTTTATATCTCGTTGCCCCTGGAGAATTCTCGCTCTTCGGATAAACGCAGTAGGTTGTTTGTTCTTCACCATTTCTTTATGGACACCTTTTAATGTGTATCCAAAGGGTCCAACGATGGCGCTAATATCCTTCAAGACGAAACCCGTTAGACCCATTCCTACACCCTTTACAAAACCCAATGCGCCGTGATCTCGAGCTCCGGTGTATGGTTGTACTACTAATCCAGTAACTCCATCATAAATGCCAAAGATGAATTCTTCACCGGCAGCCTTTAATCCGCTCTTCATACCCGTGATTCTTGTTGGTCTTCTTACGGTAGTGTCTCCATATAAACGAGGAGCATTATGGAAACCTTGAGCGAGAGCAAGTGCTAGATCCATGGGTGCACGAGCTACTGCTTCCGCCGTTTCACCAAAACCATGGCCAATATCTTTAACTACTTCTTCGGCTTCGTTATGTGTGGGGTCGGAGGAGAGCATGGATTGATTATCGGTGTTATTTTTAGGCTGTGAATTTTGTTGTTGTTGTTCTTCTCGATTAGCTTGACTGTATTGGCGAGTCGGTTCACCGCTTGTAGTATGATTTGCCATACCAGCATCACATGGAGAATTTACGGCAGCCTCAGGGCTGGTATCGTGTGTTTCTGTTGCTGAATTGGTATTTTCGGTCTCTTTGGATGGGTTAGCGTTTTCATCTTGATGACTCTCTTCTTGTATCGTTTGATTGTTGAGTGTAGAAGTATTCGAGGTATCGACATTCTCTTGAGAATCAGGTTTCTTTTCAACAAGAGTGGTTCCACTTCCACTTTTCCGTGTATCTTCCGATTTCCTCTTCTTTCTCTCTTCATGCATACTTCTTCTCTTGATAGTCTTTCTGACCTTGAAGGGTATACTGCCTACACCAGCAGCAATCCCCGTAACAGTTCCTGTAACAGCTGTTGTAACACCGCTAATAGGTTCACCTGGTCCTTCGAAATCATTCCATTCATGATGTCTAATGAGTCTCAACTGCTTCCATGTGATTTTCTTCCTCTCCACTAACAACTCAGCAGCCAATGCGCTCAACCTCAAATTCGTCCCTTTCATGGTCCAAACCGCCACTCGATCTTCCAGAATTGAACAGCGCATAGAATGTTCGCCTCGGAGCGTAAGACTTCGATGAAATGACTTTACTGCATTTTGTGCACCATCGCCTTCAGCTTCAATATCCTTCGCGATCTTCTCTACCGCTTCTCTAGCTTCGTCCGTCAAACACTGCTTGATACCTTCTGCTAATTTATCAGCTGTCAATTCCTTGTAGGGAACGGGATCTGCTCCAGCCCCTGCAGTACCAATCATAGATCCCCAGAACTGTTGATCGCCGAAAAATGGAACAATCATAGTCGGCTTTCCACATTTAAGGCCTATCGCAGTCGTTCCAGCACCGCCATGATGCACTACCGCCTTGACTTTGGGGAAAAGCCAATCATGCGGTGTGTTTTCGAGCATGAACACATTCTCTGGCGTATTTTCACCACCGAGGCCACCCCATCCTTTTGAAACCAATGCTCTTACTCCAGCTTTCTTCACAGCTTCAAAGATCATCTCAGTAAATCTGTCAGGATCATCAACAACAATAGAACCAAACCCAATGTAAATTGGTGGCTCTCCATCATCGAGAAACTTGACGAGATCGTCCGGTGGTGTGAATGTATTCGCAAGGTCCAGGAAAACGAAACCAGCGATATCAATTTCTGGTCCCCAATCTTTGGGTTTGGGCACGAGGCCCGGTGACCACAGGTACGTATACGGAACTTTGAGGCGGTAAAGTTGACCTGGAGCCCATAATGTGGATACCGGTTCTAGACCTAAAGTCTTTACTCTGAAGTTATTGACGAGATCACCCAGTCCTTGCCAAGTCATCATTTCCACCAACGGATATGACATAAAGTTCGTATAACCTGGATCAACATTTGTTTTCTTGATATTAGCCAAAGGATGTGGAAATGCTTGCGTTGGAGTATATGGAAATGTGAACATGAGATGAAGAGGAACGCCGAGTCGTTCTGCGCAATGAATATGTGCAAAACATGGAGGGTTTGCAATAATAGCATCTGCGACGAATGGCGCCTTATTTCCCATCATTTTGAGATTTGTAACATCCCTTTCCTCGTCCGTTGCATTAATGCAAGCTCGCCAGAAACCTTCAAACATTTCAGCCATTTGCTCTCTTCGTCTTCCTACTTCTCCTTTCTTGAGAGTATCCATTGTCGGTATCATTCCTGGATTTTTGACCATAAATGCCATAAGTTCTGCAGGGTCTCCTCCAACCGAAAAAAATTCCAGCCCAGAATCGTTCTGCACGAAATCTCTGAAGGCGGGATGTGTTGCTATTCGTACTCTATGTCCATACTCCTTCAGATTCTTTCCCAGCTTTAAAAATGGTTGAATATCGCCACGACTACCAATAACCATTACAACAATATTCAACCTTGGTCTGGGTATATTTGAAGTGACTGTTTCTTCCGCTGAAGATTTTGAGAGTTTTCCACGTTGGCGTCGGGCAAGGTTGGCTTCTGGTGTTTCGTCCGTGGTGTCATCATGCCCTACTTTATCGAAGAAAGTGGCGCCCAATGCCTTTGCGAGATATCCTCGATTGCTTGTCTCATTAAAACTGATGTTTAATCGTCCATCTCTCTTTGATACCTTTCCCCTAGTACTGTAATCATCATTTCCAACCTGGAATTTGTTATATTGTTTCCTGCCACCCGTATCGGCAGCATTTTTCTTTCCTGGTATGTAGTTCTTTTTCTTCTTCTCCGCTGGAACATCTTCCTCGTCCTCACTGCTACTGCTGCTGCTGCTACTTGTAGATCCATCATCTTTGTAATCGGGACCTCTACTCCAAATTGCTTCATTCAACAATGACGTGTTTGTTTCTCCTCTTTTGTAAGCTGGTGCCAGCAGAGATGATTTCGTGGTTGCTCGCGGTCTTTCGGTTTGCCATACTTTCGCAGGTGCAAGGTTAGGTCGTTTTTCCTCTTCTTGTTGGACGTTGTGTGTAATATTCGCAGCAGGAAAATCTGTTTTGGTGGCGGACAATGATCTCGATTGCAACGGAATATGTGCAGGTCCATCTGCCATTGTCGGCCCACTATTAGCAGCCATCTCTGTCGATGCTTCTGTCATTGTATTATGTATTAAGTATTAGAGACACCAAAAAATATGTGATGATGATGGAAGAAATAATAAAAACTCCTCGCCAGGTTCAATTTGCCATTGACAAACACAAATTGTCAATAGCGGAAAACAAAGTAAGATAGTACCAAGGAAGAAGTGAATGACTGCGCAGCGAAGAGACGAGACTCTAGATATGAAATGTGTAACTGTAGTACCCGATTGTATACCAGTAGCAAGTGAAACAGCTTCTTTGTTCCGATATCAACCTCAAAAATTTCAGTAGAGACAGTTGACCTTAGTCCAATTACTTGATATTCAAGAAGAATTGGGAGTAGATGGTCCGCGCTTGGATTTTGAATCTCTTCCTTGATAGAGTTTACCTTGGCTCACCTTGGTTTACCTCTACTGACTTATATTTTCCATGCCGGAGCCAAAACAAGTTAGACCTCAACACATAAGTTCCAGAAGTAGTATCGTACAGGAGGTTATGATCCGTAGCGTGGCCTCTTAACCTCAAGAGTCAGGTTCCTCAGGTTCCTCAGCATAGAAAGAGATAGAAAAAGATGTCATCGTCATAGTAATAATTTCCCTACAAAAAAAAGATCTGCACTAAGCCATTTTCGGAATCAGCCACAACCTTGATTTGACCCCTTGTCCCTGAAAGAGTCCCGGTACAGTGTGGTATTTGGAACGAAAACACTTTCTCGTCCGTAAGAAACGTCATATTGATTCAACTACCGGTATTTAAGGTTGCAGCAATGAATCCAATCCAATAAAGGATTAGAATCTAGAACGCTTTGGAACATTTTCATTTTGTTCCTTTATATCCTCAGACACCTAGGTGGGTAGTTTTCTAACGCAGAGAAGATGATATTACATGATAGGTAACCTACACTTCCAACACTTGTAATAAAGCTTCAACCGTTGCCGTCGATTTGTGACTCCATGTAGTTTCATTCTATTCGCTAGCCATATACTAATTAATACCTAACGAAGCGCACTTGTACACACGCACCTCCTCCCCACCCACAATAAACCATAACCATAACCATCTAGCATTACTCATCCTGGCCTTCAGAATGTCGTCCGTTGGGTAATAATCTTGCTTCTCCATAGTGTCAAAATACTCCGGCATCAAATCCCAATATCAACATTGTTTGCCATAAACACAAACCATAACAATGTAACCCTAACAGGGCTCTCTTGAATCCCGTAAACCCCATCTTATTCATCATCCTCCAACCTTCCTTCATCGCTTCGAGTCTGCCAATTCCTCATCTCAGCATTACGAGCTCTAACTCCATCAATCCAACTTTGTTCATCATCGCCATTTTCTCTCCCGCCATAAAGACCTCGAAAACCATCATCTGACATTCCTGCTGGCGAGCCTGACCTCTGTCTCGTCCGTCTCGCATCAGTCACATACATCCATCTTTGACTAGAATCTTGATGGAAAGGGTCGCTGGGTCGAACTGGTCTTGATGCTCCGTGCTCGGTAAGGATGTTTCTCAATCGACCCATGGATCTAGTTGTGGGTGCAGTGTAAGATGGATGATAACGAGATTGATGTCGAGCTTCGGGTAAGTGGGCTGGGGTCTGAGGCTGAGATGCTGCAGGAAGAGAATCATTGTACACTGAGTATCCCCTGGATGGAGTATATGTTTGGGCACCTGTATCACTGTCTCTTCTTGGAGTTGGCTGTGGTCGCGTGCGACGTCGACGTGGCGATGGAGAAGGTGAAGGAGGAGGAGAATTGCGCGAGGGTGAGCGGGAAATAGGACTCGAAAACAAGCGTGTAGCAGCTCTGACAATAGGATTCAATTGTCGACGCCCAACGGACTATTGCGCGAGGAAGGTTAGAAGAAGTAAAAGTATAGATTTAAGCAAACTTACAGGTGGGCTTGATGCTTGTCTCTCATCATGCTCACGGATTAGTTGACTAATAACGGAGCTTGATATAGAGATATTCCTCGAAGGACCTCCTGAAGTGCCGCCAGAAAAACTTCCAACGACGCTGGTGGGTGAAGTTTTGCTTTGATATGCATCTGATGGAGAACTTGGAAGTGATCCTACCCTTGAATTCGATCTGGAAACGGTTGAGAATGGTGGTGGTAGATGTATTTCTCGGGAACGATTAATGGAAATGGCTGTTGATATTACTGATTGCTCTGCAATTGAGACAAGACTGTGGGGGTCCATTTCTTCATCAAGAATGGGCTCATAAGTGTTTGTCTCACTTTCAATCTCTTGTGATTCTATCAATACTTCTCGGTCTGACGGAGGACGCTCTTGGCTGCGAACGGAGCTTGCAAACGAAGGTATTCGAGAACTCTGTAAAGAACTTCCACGCAATTCTTGACGAAGGTTGAGGCTCTCCGATGGTCGTGGTCGACTATCGGTTGTAGATGAAGATAGTGCCCTCTCTTGTTCGTAAGCGACACTAGATCTTTCCGAGTCATCAAATGAAAAGCTATTCGTTTGGTGCCTCAATGTGCGAGGTTGACGTGTAGATTGAATATGAGGGCTAGGTCCAGGACGTCGAGCCGGTTGTGCAAACAGAAACCCTGGAGTATTGTGGGTAGCTATGCGAGAAACGACTCTAGGTGTCACACTAGCTGTAGTCTACAACATTGGAGAATTAGTAATTACTCCCAGGAAGACATCCAAAGCAATCAGATAGATCTGATAGTGAAGGGTATACTTACATGTCGCTCTGGTGAGCTTGATGCATTTTGTGCCAAGAACAAAGGTGAGCGCGGCAATCTTGTGCGAGCCTGTAGTCTCTGTGCTGCTGGTGCTTGAATATGAGGGGTTGTCGAAGCGTCCTCTGGTTCTAAGGAATATTAGTGGTTTTGCTATATCGTGATCAAATCAATAATTTAAAGAATGTTTAACATCCAAAGGTCTTGCGAGATGATGCTGGTCGTCCTGTAGAGTACAATCTTACCGAAAGGTGAAGATCCTCGACTCTGGTCACTTTCTTGCTGACTGGGACTTTCAACAAACCCGCCGTAGTCGAAGTTGTCTTTGGAAGGGGAAGAGAGCCGCCTAATACCGGAGTTCTCGAAAGATTCATCGCCCGCTTTAAGCTCCACCGACTCTTGGCTACTCTGGGTCTCTGGCACCTCAAATGTCTTTCCACGCCTCGCATCTAGCCACTCTTCGAATGTCTCCGACTTCCTAACATTGTGCATCTCGGGAAGCTCTGCTTCCAATGAAGAGCCATCAACAAGTTGGTTGTTTGTGATTGTACCATCAGAAGAGCGGGGTGATGCGTTTTCCCATTCTGAAATATCAGAATCCTGAGTATGAGCATGAGCAGGCATTTGTATAATACATTCCAATGGAAGAGGTGATGCAAGTCTTGGGATATTATGACTTTGAACCGGTTCTTGATTGGGTTGATTTGTGAGATGACTTCCATCGGTGCTTGCTATTGTATCAGTAGATGGACCACAGATTCTGCTTCTGTGACTGATGGATCTAATTGGTAAAATAATCTGATGTTTGAAAGGCGCGGCTTGTGGATTTAACTGCAACTTGGCCCGACGTTTTGTGCGTCTGTCGTAGTCCTTGATATCACCCAAACCAATGGTTATGAGGGATGGAGGGAGTCGGATCATGACTGTCTTGTTGACTGGGCATGAAATTGAGAAGGGAAAACGATTGGTGTGCTATGCAATCTTGCGGGAAGCCATTTGTTCATTGCGGAGAGAGCTTGTCAAGGTGGTCCACCCGAAGGGGATCGGTCACCTGAAGAGGAAAGAACAATACACTCATTGTGAAAGGAAGGATAAGATGGATCGACTTTGGATCTCTCGAACCATCGATTGATGAGAAGGAAAGAACGAATCAGAATGAAGTGATGTGAAATAACACATTTCCATTGGTACCCCAATCTACTTGGATTTTGGGATAATTATGTCGGACTCGTACGTACAAGTTGCAAGTAAGTATAGATACCTGGTAACATGGCATAGCCGCACAGGGACTTCTGTGAAGCAAACTATCTCTACATGACCAAAGATGCCCTCTGACACTGGCAAGAGGGAATAATTTTCTGATTATTTGATATCAGAACTCGGGAGATCAACGGTCAACGGAGGTTTGGAGGCTTGGATTCTATTAATACCCAACGTTTTCGCATCTATATCAAACAGGCTTGGTCAAATCAGCAATAAATCATTGTTTCGTGAGGTAGAGATATAGTGAAATAAATCATCGTCGCACGGCGGAATGATAAAGATAGTATGGGAGATCAAGTTCGTGGTAGTTGAATTTTCATAAAGATAAATAAGAAGGCGATCTGAATGCATGTAAGTGTAAGTGCATTGCTAGGTAATTAGCTAGCTCGTGGTAATCAATGGTACGGATGGAAGAAGTGGTACCTGAATGCTACCTCAGTATTTAACCTCGGGTGGCTTAAGGCGGCATTCAATGCATATGAACTGCAGGACCATATTTTATGCGAGGAATAGATTTTGATGAATGTAATGTTTATATATTAGATAGGAGACTGACGACCATCTCACGACCATCTCAGGAACATCTCAAATGACGAATCAGAAAGAGAATGAATGGTGCTGGCAATACTTCACTGATATGTGATCGACTACACGATGAATTCACACCTACACATACACCTATACATACACCCATACATACACACATCCTACATTCACTCCCGACTACAGAGTTATGCCCATCTTCCTAAGAAGGGGCTATAATGTCTCTGATTTGATTGATGAATGCTCCCGTCTGTTCAAATAACAATGCATACCTGGTGGATATGTACCAATCTCCCTAGGATCTTCATAAGCCATACATATCAGATACATGTAAAATATACTGAATCTATGCAACTACCACCTGGCATCTCCTAAAGTCTCCGTGTATTATTGTATTCGAGAACAAAGTAGCCAAATATAGCTTTTCCCTAATGATTATCCATTCCTCAGCCTCTCGCACTCCATCCACACATATCCATATGTCCATATGTCCATATGTCC